GCATGGGAGGGTGTCTGATGCCACCCCCTCCGCGGGCGGCCCTCCGCCCCCACCGTCGATGCTAGTTGGGCCGCCGCCGCCACCACCGCCCCCGCCACCGGCGGCGGCGCCGGCGGCGCCGGCTCCGGCTCCACCGGTGTACTCGTCAGCAGCAGCGGCAGCTCCGCAGCCGCAGCAGCACCCGCTCGCGATGCCCATTGCCGAACGCATCGCATCCATGGGCCCCCAAGAGGTTAGGGAAAGTACTAATAATTAGAGCTTGCCACCTTTGTCTTTTTACGTGTCTTGTTGCTTCGATGTTGCTGATGGCGGGTGAGGGTTTTGTGGTTGGTTGCGCGTGTTTGTGTAGTTTGGAGGTAAGTTGCAAGCATGTTGAGAGAGGCCGATGGGGAAAGGGGTTGAAAGAGTTGCGTAACTCCGTATCATGCGTGCGAGCCGGCAGTTGATCGCACGGCGATGATGCTTCTTGTTCTGCGATTCCAAACCGGTGTCCTCTTGGTGTTGTTTCCTTGGAGGGCTCTTGTAGGCTTTCTGCGATATCTTCCGTCGTTGTTAACGTTTTCCACACCACAGTATATTCCGACCCCGCAGAATCTGTTCTTCGGCCAGTTTCGCCGTACACTCACCCCCACACCATGAACGACCCCCGCCGCCCCCGCCCCTCTCGATTTGCAGCTGGGGGCGATGCGTCAACTACCGAACGCGCAGACGCTCTACCCCTTCATCTTCGAAGGAAACCCTGGCTTCGGGCCATTCAGAGACACCCTGGCAGGGTTGGTCATGCCTCGACTGGCGAGCGGCGGCGGCAGTGGCGCAGGGACCTGAGCCCCAACAGGAGAATGCTCTTGGCACGGCATCAACCAACCACAGCAGCAGGAGAACAACGTTCTTGGGGAACGTTCCGAGAATTTTCCGCCGCCACCGGTCGAGAAGGCCCATTTTTTTTCTCCACCACGTATCTCGCGCTGTGTATTTACGACGAGTACAGCTGTTCCTGTGGCGGTGCCTATTGTCATTGCCAAGTTTTTTTCATTCGTCGTTTTTACGTGTGTGTGCATCTTGTTGCGGAGGAGAATGGCAGCGTTGAAAGGCGTAACGCATCGTACTCTGGCCAGCTTTTAGCCAATTAGAGTTCTAGTGTTTTTATTAATGTGACACCCGCACCGCCGCTGCTGGCTGAGAGAGCCAACATGTTCGGGGCGGTAAGGCGTACGGGAGTCGGAAAATGGCATAACGCCGACCTGTATTTTCGTCGTAATAAGAACGATGCGCATTGTTTGGAAGTGTTTCTAGCACGTGTGCATGTGTGAGGTATTTTTCGTGTGTGTGTGTGAGGATTCGTTGTCAAAGCGGCGCTCGTAAAGGGAGGGTTCCGGTAGGGACTGACGACCAGAGGAGCGCTTGTTTCGTGATTCCCTGGCGTCGGTGGAAGTCTTCTCGACGCAAAAGCAGGCGCGTACGATCCGTTTCTGTATCGTGGAAGTCGCTATTTACTGCAAGGATGTTCGGCTTTCGCTAATTGCCAACAGAGAGTTTTTTTTATCGAAAGGGGGAAAGAGTAGTAACCAATGCAAAGGAAACAGTGAAAAGCGGCAACTGAGACAGAACCAGAGATTCATTGCACGCGTCCACGAGATGGCCAGATCTGGCCGCCGGAGCTGGTGGTTTTGTCACCGAAAAGGTTGGGCTAGACCAGCCGACGAATATCGTACTTATTCTTCTACATTGTTTTGTTTCTTTTTCTCTCCAAAACGGCTGCGGTTCACACAACCGGAATAGTGGCCTTTTCCTTGAGAAACCGGGCACTCGATGGAGAAAGACATCCAACCACATTACACAGCGATGGCGTGCTGTGTGCCATGTGGCCGACCACAGGAGGGAAGATGGAACACGCGAGAAAAATCCACACAGTGAAATCCTGCGGCAGCGTAACGAACACATGTGTCAGTGTGAAACGGGGGTCGATCGCGCACATATCCCGCCGTGAACGACCAAGGCTACAGCAGGGGCTGTAGCACCCATACGAGCTAAAGTGCCACCTGTTTCGTGGTGTCTTCGCGGTTACTGTGCGTGTTTCTCTAGTCGAAATGTGTGGTGTGGGCCCTAACGGAAATATATGCATGTGGTGGAACGACCCTTACTTTAGGTCACAGGTGGTGGAGTGATGTGCAATCATGACGCATCGTAAATCTCTTCCACATGAAGGCTTCCATAGTTCGGATATTCTCGGGGCAGGCATTGTTTTGTTCGTCTCCATCTGTTGGTGGGATCCCACTGAAGTAAAACCATGTGTTTCGCCCCGCGCTGCCGTGACGGAGAGGGTTGGTTCTTGTGCCGTATCGGAAGTCGGTTAGATTGAGTTGGACAGAAACGGACACAAATTGTTCCCGTTCGACCCGAATCGCTCCCCCTCCGATAAGAAAGTGCGCCTCACCGGCTCGCAGACTCTTCATCTGCAACTCTCCAAACAGCCTGTGTCGTCCCTTGTACGTGCCTGTCGTGCGAGGGGGTGCAGGAACATCACTCGATTTTGAAACCACCAATCACTCTCTCGAAGGGACGAAACAGGTGCGGTGCACGTGTGCTTTGCCGACTGCAGTATCTGGAACATTCAAACTTAAAAAAATACAGCTTTGGCCACCATCGACACCCGAAATGGGACTCTTCTCTCCGCCATGATATTGGACCTGCTATATGCATAATCTATGGGATACCAAGGGGTTGCTTTAGAGGCCACAGAGAGTGACACGAAACCGATAGGATGCACCGTAGCGTCGGGCTGGGAGAATTTCCGAAGTCGAGTAAGTGCTGCGTGCTTGCAGACTAGAGTCCTGCACCGGGGGGGGTGGAGTCGATGTCACCCCCCTTGAGAGTTTGGCAGCGGGCGTCGAGGTTAGATGTTCTTTGCGTGTTGATGACCGAAACAAGCACCCACCACAGAGCGGCGCACTACCGGGCAGACCAAAATCGTCTTGTGTTTTTTGTACTTCCTTCGAATGCTCGCATCGATCGATGCAGTCATCTTCGGGCTGCCATCTCATGGCTCCTCGGTGATCTCTGTAGCTCAAACCAGACGCACGGGCGAGCGCACGGGGCCACCAGTCTCACCTCAATCGCTCACATCGAGCTTCACGTTTGGCACAGGGCCGGCAATACATGAAACACGAGACCCTTGAAACAAGTTATTTGCTCGAAAAATCGAACCCGATTGCTTGTTACGTTTCGCCTTGCGGCATGCAGGACCTGTGAGAATACCTTGCGATACGTTTCATGGATTCTATTGGGTACGGTTGTCTGGCAGCTCCGTGTTCTACGCAGAACTGTGTCTTGGTGGTGCGGTATTAGACCTCATGGCATTGCGAGATGGCTTCCTTTCCGGCAGCGACAGCTGCCCGACAAGACACAACTTCCATGACCGGGCCCCGCGCTTGGCACACTCCTCTCTCGTTCGCACTCTCTAGCAATAACCACATCTGAACATACGAGCCAAGAGCTTCCGAAACATACGTGTGGTGCACTCAAGTTCGGTTTGCGATACCGTTTTTTGCACTTACTTCGCTCTGCGAAACAGCTGCCAGGCATCAAGAAGGACGAGAAACAGCTATTCGGTTTCGGCGTCAAAGCATCGCTTCCCCCGCAGAAGAGAAAGGCGATACTGGTCGGTGCAATCACCACCGCTCTGTTCGGGAGAAGAGGCGGCTGTAGCATGGATTCACTCCCGGTGTCATCAGCTGGTGGACAAGGTGCTGGACGTATACTAATTACATGACCGATGGTGTGAATCGCAACCACTCGGTTTATTCGTTCTTGACCATTTCAAATAGACAAGAACCAAAATTTCACCAATCGAACGGAAGTGGCGTCCGAACTCAGGCGGTTGGCCTTCATGCACCAACCCCTCCAAAACCCATGCGCGTACCCAATTCTGTCGGATGAACACAGATCTATAATACATTTTTTATGTCATGCTTCATCATCCTGCGGCACATTAATGTGTCGACGCCTTGAGTGACATTCACCCCGCCGCCCTTCTGACAATCGACCTCATTCCAGCCGCTGCCATTGACGACGAATTGAGAGGACTCACCCTGACAGTCTCTAGCAACACCGGTACTACCATGGCTATCCAAGAGGAAGAGTGCGGCCAGCGTGGTGCCCTTCAAGGTTTACAGCCGGATCGTAGGGTCGCAAGTCTCCCTCCTGGTTGCAGAACTGGAGACAACGACTTCATGTTCCGAGAGCAACAGCCCATGTTTCCCTTCGACACCGTGAACATCCTCGGTGCAAACACCGGCGGCGGCGTTTGCAGCGGCGGTGGTAACCGGGCGGCCGATGACAGGAGTGAGAGCGGGACTCGCGCTTATAGCAGCACCGGAGTGCGTGGAGGCAAGGGCCCCGTCTTTGCCGTAGGTAGCAGTGGAGGCGCTAGGGTTGCTGCCGGAGGTGCGGCAGGCGGGGGAGGAGACGTGCGAAGCAAGAAGAGGTCGGCTAGCAGAGGCAGTGGCCGCGACGGACTTGGAGTAATGTCTGGCACCGCTAAGCTCAAGCCAAGACCTCGCATCACTTCCACCGCCACGAAGCCGCGTGACGTCGCCACCGCCAAGGCATCGTTGAGGACCGAGGCAGACATCCAGGGAGTGGTGGACGAGATAAAAAAACGTAATCCGAACAACGGTGGGGGTCGGCAGGCAAAAGGAGGTCGCTGGACGGGTGAGAACCCCCCCCCCCGCATCGTACAAGACTGAAAGTGCCGCTAAGTTGTGTCGACACTTTTGCATGCACTACTATGTAAGAAACGTGGGGTTTCGTCGAAAAAACCGTGATCCAAGAAATTTACATGCATCGTATCATGTTGTAATGTTGGTGTGAAGCAGTTGATGACACCCTCCCGCCTTCCGGACTGAACTGTTGTCTTGAATTTGGCAGTCGTACCGCTTTAGTTTCTTCTTGAGAGCTGTCCACCTCAATAATGCACGCCCCAACAAGCCTGACTTGAGCGTGTGAGACCCTTGCGCGGCATCTCGTGGGTCTGCAGCCTGGCGACTTTCATTCTCACGCACGGCATCATCGTACCACAGTTCACACATCCCTTCTCCGAAACCTACCTAACGGCCTACCTCAATCCAAACCTGAACCCCAGCCAACCTGACCCCGGGCCAAATTACACTGCTATGAATCGACGCAGCTGAAGAGGACGACACTTTACGCAGCATCGTGAGCCGCGACGGAGAGGGGAAGTGGAAGGAAAAGTCGGAGGAGCTCAACTACGTGATGGCCAGCCACTACGAGGCCATGGCCGCAGTCGCCACCGCCAAGGGCGATCATGCCGTACAGGAGTACGGAAGAGTCGCCGCGCAATGCTTGCACAGGTAATACAATATGTGGTGAATGGGCGTTGTTTTGTGTGTGTGACCGCTCTCTAGATGTGGCTTGTCGATTCATTGATTTTGGTGGTGTAGCTGTCGTTCCTTTGCCGAATTTCTTCCCAATATATATTCTAAATTGAACAGGCAGAAGCTGATGTACCACTCCCCCATCCCAAGCTAACACAACATCGCCTCCACCAGCCCCCCTGCCCATCACCATCACCAACACCCCTAAAACCCCTATAGGTGGAAGAAAGTTTTGCAACCGGGGTTAAACAAGCGACACTGGACCCCAGAAGAGGACGAAATAGTTCGAGGGGCGGTATTGAGCGCGCAGGCGATCGGGGCGGTGAGAGAAAGAGTGAGAGCTGTTGGTACTTTGTTATTGCTCCTGCTTGTCGGAAGCTCGGTGTTACTTCCTTCACACTGATGCCACCATTGCTGCCATGGTTGACGGTGGAGTTACTCTGTTGTGGTAAATGAGTGTACCAATTGAATCAGCAGGGTGACCTAGTTGGTCAGGCTGAGTTCTGTACACATGAGACCAACAAGAAGATGGGGGCTTTCTAGCAACAACCAAGCGCGGGTGCTCTTGCGTGCATGAACATACGACGAACGCAATGCTGTACCCTGGGGACGGTCTTTGCGATCGGCGTCTAACCAGTCAAAGTGCGTGATTCTTTAGATTCTTGAGGGCCCTCGGCTGTACTTTGTAATTTTTCGTTCGTGCCACCCCTTGGTAAAATCCGTTAACCCCCCCCCCCCCGCCCGGACTATTATTAGTTTCCGTTCGAGGCACACGGTGCACTGTTACCGGTGGATACGCAGAATCCTCCGTTCGAAGGACGGCGACCACGGACAAATAGTAAAAACCACCTTTAGGACTCGCTGACACCAGGAACCTCAATGGCCTCGAGCCCCCAACGAGATCAAACACGGCCGGCCGAAAAGCATGCCACCCAAAGGGTCACGAATGTTTCGAACTAAGACCTTGTGTGCAACCACGGCACACTCCTGTCCCTGCATGTTTTTTTTTCTTGATCCCTCCTAGAAGGTGAAGTGGAGCCTTGTGGCCGTGCTTCTTCCGGGAAGACTGGGCAAGCAGTGCCGCGAGCGCTGGTTTAATCACCTCGACCCGACGGTAAAGAAGACGGAGTGGACACCTCATGAAGACGAGGTGCTGTTCAATGCGCAGGTGCGACGAGCGAGTATGTATGTATGCGTGTGTGTATTCTACATTTACGCAGTATCGTCGGCCCTAATTGGCTGAAAAGAGTCATTGCTGAGTGCAGTCAAAACGGAAAACGCTTCAAAGGCCATGACCTGGGGGCGCGTAAGGGAAGGCCGTGGCGAAGGCAAGGCTATTCTCAGAGGAAAACAATCGCGGCTTTGTTCTGTGCTTCTAGATTTCGTACCGACGGCGGTACTATGCTGACCAACGAACAGTCTATTCGCCAGGTGTGAGCTGGTGGAAAATGACAGTCCCCCAAAAGAGGTCATTCATGGGTTGTATGGACTCATTTTCTTTATGAGGATGAAAGGATCGAGAAATTACAGTAGTGCTCGCCAATTGGTGCTTCTTACGTTCTACGTGCCATTTATCACCACAAGCACAAACCCTCGGCTACGTACGATAGGTCATTCGTACTTGACCGCGTACGACGTAACGTCGTTTCGCTTTAGGCTCTAGTACGGTCCATTCCAGCGCACCCTCTCTGCAGATGCCTTCCATCTATCGTTCGATTTGTTGTTGAAAGTGCCATAGCGAAGGGCGTTCTTCAGACCCCATGGGTATCAACGTCGTCGGTCATCACCGAGGGGTCCCCCTGCGCTACGAAAAACGCCTCCAGTCACGCGAGGCCATCCCCAAAACAGAAGAAAAAACGCGCCTCCCGCTTTGTCATGTTTTATTTACGGTGTTTTTCACTGGGATGCTTCCTCGCTGCTACCACAGGCGTTTTTCGGCACCCGCTGGTGCGAGATCTCAAAGTTCCTTCCCGGTCGCACGGAAAATGCCGTCAAGAACCGGTACAACTCCTCCGCGAGGCAGAAGTGGTTCAGCAGCCAACCCCAGGCAAACGGCCGCCCGGCCAACAAGAAGGCGGCTTCCAAGGCTTTCCTCGATAGACTCATGGACACGCTCGGAAAAGACGGCGGAGGAGGTGGCGATGGCAACGGTGGCGAGGGTTTCTGCTCCGGTAGCAAGGTGGCTTCGACTCCGTGATTGGTGGCTAGGTTTTCAACGAGTTTTCGTGCTGTCCGTGGGTTTTGGGTGATTGTCGTTGAGCGCACAAAAAAGGTGGTAGACTCACAACAAAACGTTCTCGAGCCGCAATACCATATCGTGTTGATGGGTTCCCCCCCCCACCACCACCACCGCAGCCACAGTACCCCCCCCACCTTCTTGCCCGTGCCAAACCCGGCCCCACGCTCTCTCGCCTCTTTCATTCCTCTCTCATTCGTTGCCTCACCTCCCACGCCCTTTTCTGCTGCTTCCGTGTCTCTACAGCGCACCCTGGAGCGGAACGCCAAGCCAACAAAGCCTAACCCGTTTTCCGGGCAGCTTCCTCGTTCCGCACTCCACTCGTTCTCCTCGCCAGGTAGCAAGCCGGCAAAGAGGCAAAGGGTTCAGCTGCCGGGCCTCCTCAACCAGCAGAACACCGGTTTCCTCGGCTCTTCTTCCCTGGCGGGAACACTCACCGGCCTCCCGTACACGACCAACGATACCACTGCTGCCGCTGCTTCTGTCGCTGCTGGTACGCGCTACGCCGGCCTCGGCGGCGGGGCCAGCACTGGTGCCGGCGCCGCCGTCGGCACGATTTCCACCGGCGACGAGCTGTCTGCGGCGATCGTGACCGGCGACAAACAACGCGAGAAGAAGAAGCACCAGGTACAGAAACAGTCAAAGCGCAGCCACAAGCGCCGCAGCGAGAGGGCCGGCTCCATGGTCACGGCGGCCCCAAGGGTCCGCAATTCCCACGGGGGCAAGGTGTCTCGCCACGTATTGAAAAAGACAGCACCGCACGGACCGCGGCTTGGCGTTCCGGCAGCTCTCGCCGTCCCTTCGTCCCAGCACGAAAACGTGATCGGCAGTTACGGAAATCGGGAACTGGAGGCGGCAGGAGCGGCGGGGATACCGGGCGCGCACGAGCAACACCCCACGGTCGGTGCGATGTCCTGTCTGGAGGAGGAAGGAGGGCTCAAGAACACGGCGCCGGGAAGGAACAACGGTAACAGCGCGGGGCTCGCGGGAGGCAGCTCGGCCGCAAGCTCGCCGAGCGATTCGCCGGCGACGGAAGAACACGACCGCCAGTCATGCGCAACCTGGCGTCCGGGGAGCGGCGGAATACCTCAGTGGGGCAGCGTACGTGATGGCGACGGCTTCAGCGACCAGAGGTACGGGAGCGCGGAGGAAACAACCTTTGCAGCGGAAGCGATCGCGAACCCGATCAATGCAAATATTGGGAGGGAGGACGGAACCTTGACCCCGGCCGCCGCCGCCGCTGCTGCTGTTGCTGCCGTCAAGACTGAAGCGGCGCAAAGGTACTTGAGGGGGGAGTGGACTCTAACTTCGCAGCGACCGCTGCCATTGTCTTGCGGGACCCCCATCCCGCAATTCCACCCGTACTTCGAGCTCGCCACGAAGAAGCACAGCAATGACAGCAACAGCATCAGCAACAGCTCCTTTTTGTGGGGCGCTGGCACTTCCGATTCGTCGCCATCATCACCATCAGTATTCGCGTCTGTACTAGGCGGAAGCAACAGCAACAGCAGCAGGTCAAGCTCCACCAGCAAACTCAGCCGCAGGGGCGCCTTCCACGATTACACGAGTCAGACGGCCAATACCGTGCCTCCTAGCAACAAGACCGTAGAAGGAGAAACAGCTATCAGCGTCAACACGAACGGCTCGCCGCCGCCTTTGAGCATCTCGGAACTTGCGACCGACAACAACAACAAGAACAGCAGCAGCAGCAGCCACATCCGTGCAGAGTCCTTCCTGGAAGACTTCCTCCTAGACGACGCCAATCCCCCCGAGCTCTCGTTCGCGCCGTCCGAGGTTTGGGGGTTGGGTAGAAGGGTGGGCTTGGGGAACGACTCGCGCAGCTCCTCCGCCACGTCAATGATGATGATGATGATGTTCGGCGTCGGCGTTGGCGCTTCCGGGCTGTTCAGCGGTGTAGGGGTTCCCCCCGCCGTCGCGGACAAAACAGGGCACAATGGTAACAATGGCGATATCCATCCCGCCCCATTGATGCCGAACAATCAGCGTGCGAGCAGCGGCAGCGGCGACGGTGGCAGTAGCACTGGCATCTCCAGCAGTGCGACCGGTAGCGGCGGTAGCGTCGGTGTCAGCAGCTTGCCTTCTTCGCCCTCTACCGTCGCTTCCGCCCGCACGACGCCCATCAGCGTACCACTCGTCCCACGCGTCCAAGGCCAGGAAGGTACCCCGCCGACGGTCTGGCAGGCTACCAACAAAGGACGCCAGGCACAAAAGGATCCGACACCGGTACGTGTTCTTGATATTTTTTTGCGTTTCCTCTCCGTCTGTCCCATCTTTACCCCAGGGCGATGATGGGGCGAACTTTCAACCTGCCTTCTAATACTTATTCTACCTTCCGGTCCTCGGGTCGTCGCCCGGCGTCTAACGCACGCGTTGTCCCTGACCACCACTTTGCTAGAGATCACCGAGGAAGGCTGCTTTGGCCGAGGGAAACGTATTGCCCTTTAGATAAATATTCTTGTGTCCTCCTTTTACGCGCAAGCGGGGTTCAGTTCTTTCTGACCTCAAGTCACTCACGAGAGAGCAATTGTTTCATTCGTGGTGGAGAAAAAATATGGCCTGTCAAAGACATCAGCTCTTAGGACTGGAACCAACTTCCGCTGGGCCACCACTTCCTCGGTCCTGTTTCTTTCGTGTTCTGGCCCGCTACCCCGCTCCACCTCCCACCTCCCTAACCTGACCTTCTCCGCCAACTCACCTCCAGCGCAATAATCAACCACCGATTATTCTCTCCCTGTATGCACCACACGACCGCCCCAGGAACCCTTCATCGGATCTTCGGCCAACGGCCACTATCCGCAGGGGATGGCACCGTTGCCGCTGCCGTTCACGACACCCGTTCCCGCCACCGGCGCTCGTTCATCGCCCCCCGTGGGAGAAGCGATGATGGCATTGTCGGCAACCTCGCCCGCGATCTGGACCGCGTTTTCGTCCTACCCCGCGGTCCCACCGCCTTTCTCGTGGCAAGGGGAGCGCGGTCCGATCCCTCCGAGCGTCACCGCAGGCACCGTAGTGGGCGGCGGTGGTGGCGCGGACCATGGCACGGGGAAGCAGCATCAGCACACGTCGCCCGGCCAGCAGGCAGTGACTGACGATACGGTGGTATGCCCGAGTGATGCTAGCGGTGCTAGCTGTGCTAGCCTCATCGACGGACAGCAACAGCAACAGAGCCACCTGCCCCTCAAAGGCCAAGTGTCTAGTGGCCCCGCTACACCTCATTGCGGCAAGGGAGGCAACGGCGGCGGCATCGACCGCGGTTGTGACTTAAGAAACCGGTCGACCGCATCACTAGCTAAGCCACGTTTGCCGACGGGTGCGGCGGTCGATGCCCTCACCCCTGGTGGTGGCGCTTGCTGTGGCGGCAGCGGCGGCGGTGGCGGTGGCGGTACGGCCGACGGTGACCAGGTGACCGCCACAAGCTTGGACGAAGACCCGGACACCAACGGTCGTGGTGAGAGCAGCGTCGCCGAAGGTTTCACTCCGTCGTAACGGATGAGCAGCAGGCTTAGAGAGAGATGTGGCGCTGGTGTCTCGAGGCAACCGCAAAGGCAATTGTACGAACTGCTTGGCTCGACACGAGGGGTTTCCGAGAAGTGTTGGCTGCCCAGTTCAGCCACATCGCGATCGCTGGTTGGTTGGCGACACGGCACCATCGGTACATGCTTTCAAGGGGGGTCGTAAGACGCCCAGCTATGAATAGCAGATGACTTCATACACTCTTCGGAAAGTCGTAACAGTAGAATATTAGAGGGAGAAAACAATGGTGTTGTTTTTGGGGATGGGGGGGGATCAGGGAGGGGGGGGGATCAGTTAGCGCTGTGGTTGACCCGATCCCCAACAACAATACCCAACAAGGGATAGGAGTTGGCGGGGTGGTGTGAGGTTTTCAGGGGACGTTGGGGTGACGGATAGACTGCGACAAAGCAAGGGGCTTTCTCACCGCATCGGCTTCAAGTCAAGCATGAAGTACGGGCAGTAAACTGGAGACAGACCTGAAGGCCCTTGAAAAAGGAGGCGTTTAAACGTTTAGACGGTCCGTGAACGAAAACAACTCGAACTCAACGAAAAACAACGAGAAAAAGACGGGCGCCGCGTGCGGTTGGGCGCTACAGTTACGAATTACCGGGCTCGCTCACCGCCACCATTGCGTTTCCTAGAACCCCGTTTAACACTTGGCAAGGCGCTGGACCCGTGGCAATACACAACAATCAGCTCCGGATCGGATTGGGCAGGGAGGGTGCAGCAGAAAACAGCTACGCGAGATCGTTAGAATGAGCTGCTGTGAGGGGATCGGAGAGATTACCGGATTGGAGGGTTAGGGCGAGGGTGGGCGCCAAAAAAATGCCTGAAGAGAGGAAAAGAAGCGAATCCCTGGTTGCTCAACTTGTTGGTGATTCGGTAGAACACGTGCATGATGAAAACTTTCCCATCCAACCATTCAATTATACACAGAACGGGCGACCACAGGAAACTCTCTTATTTTTCGCAACCCGATCTCCTTTATTTTTCAGTGGGGAACCAACAGGGACTATAAGTGGTTGGTGTGTGGGTATATGTCGAACTCAAGTCCTTCGTGCACAATTAATCCTATTTTTTCAACTACCCCAACCACCTGGGTTGTTGGCGTTCGGTAGTATGGCACAAGAGATCGGAATATTTTCCAGCATTACGGGGCCACGAAATCGCTTCGGCCCGAACAAACTGTAGTCTACGGTTGACAGGGGGATCCTTTCGAACAACGACAGCTCATTTGGTATCACCAGGCGAACGCCTGGAATATGTGCGGCGGTGCCGATAATCTATCCTTGGGATGAGGGAAAATGTCACTCACGGTTTTCCTGGAGAAAGGTCTTCGGACACAGCGGGTGTCATGATATTATGTTTAGTACATAGACTAATCCACGATGACGCCCAACTGCACCAAAATACCCTACGATTCGACCGGTAGAATCATGACAACGGTCACATCATCAGCATCTTTGAAGGTGCTTCGAAATCTCTCCGTTCGGCCTGTTGTCTTCGTAACCTCTTACGCCCATCGATGCTGCTACTTCTAAGCGTAGGGACCACGTGCTACTCAGCAAGGCGTGTAAGAGAAAGCCGCCTCGTCTTCATCTCGGCCGTTGATCAACCTTTAGTCAAACAGGCGATATCGACGAAATGGGTTGAGCACGAGAGTGCGACATCATGCAGACGTGAAGCTGAGCACCCTCTGACATGATAGCTATGCTTTGCGGCTTGTAGATCATGACATGCTTCTAGTCGTTGGCGAACGTAGTTGCCGAGTTCGTGTGCGAAACAAATATTGGAGGAGGCACCGTGGTTGAAATTCTCTCTCCGCCTACCCCCCCCCCCCCCCCCCCCGCGTGCGCCCGCGTGTCGGAAAATAGGCTCTTGCTTCACCTGCCATTCTGCTGCTCTCTCCGTTCTCTCTGCACACAGTCAGTCTGCATCGGAAAGCTCAGCACCAACCACCCGCGTACGTACGCTCCAGGAGGTGAGAGCAAGGGAGAGAGAGAGAGAGAGGTGTTGCGCGAGCATCTTGGTTTCTGGCGCCGAGTGTGCACAGCATGTCTTGGGTGTGTGCGCTGCCGAACAAGCATCAAAATAGCGGCTGAAACGGCGGGTCGGATATGCACATGTAGAACAGGAGGATCTGAGTGGCAGAGAACAGCAGCCAGGCAGCAGTAGTATACATTTGCTTCAGGACAGCAGGGAATTGCTCTATCGCTCTTGGTACAACTCGCATTGGGACCAGCTCGCCGCTCTTTACTATCTAGGCAGTAGCGGGTTAATTGGGTGCTGGCAAATCTATGGTCTGCGGTCAGTGAGGTGTCAGGTGGATGAGCCACATCACAGCGCAACATGACGATGGATCCATGTACAGAGATGGGATGGTACATGTAGTGAGAGGAGGTAAACGCCAGTATCCAAGCAACTGCTCGGGGCGAGCGACCTTGGGTACTGCACGTCGGACTCGACCAGTACTTCAGCGATGTCCATACGGGCATCGGTCTTTCTTTGTCTGCTGGGGCCAACTTGGTTGGACACAAAGAGCAAGTCATTTTCCCACCGGCATCGGACAAATCGTGCCCCAATATTTTTCAGCAACTCCACCTACGAAAGGTCGAAACAACCACCGAACACGCTGCAGGGTAGAATGTATACGCACAGCCGCCCTTCCTGACACGACTCTCACTCCATATCGCCTGCTGTAATCCCCACTCCTCTATTCCCGCACTCGCCAGAGACCTCTTTGTCCCTCCATCATTTGCCGTTCGGTATTGACTGCCCAATCCTGGGATCCTGTGATGGGTTCGACCTCTCCCCTGTGGAGAGCTCTGCGAAAGTCCGTTGGAAAAAGCGGAAAAAACGAAAAACATCCAAATTCAACATCTTTATCCTTCCACCGTGCCCAGGATTAGGGCCGGCAGAGAGTAGTGTGTCATCCGCAATACTGCCCTTGATTGAGCATTGCGCGCGTGCCTTCGAAATTCTATTCTGCCAATAGAGTCTAACAGCTCAAGCACACAGATGGACACAAGTAGAGCGTGATCTTACAATCTCCGCCCGGTAGTCTATAAAAAAATAAACGTGGTACCCACGTATCGGGAGCACCCCTGCTTTAACTGCTGTAGGATGGGCCGGGGGACGGTCCTCTTGACTACTGTAGACTATACCCAAAGGTGTCCCGAGTTCTTGCGCTGCTCTTGGTGCGGTATTCTGTATCTATGTGCCGATGATGCCCGATATCTACAGTACACCATAGACTATGTGTGCATAGTGCCACCTGCCGTTGACAGGGTCTTGATACCATGGCGTCTACGTAGTCTGCAGGTCAGTAACGGTAAATGATTTCCCCCCGACAATGTCGGCTCGTGCTCGTGTCTCCGGTGTACTCAAGCATGAAGATGACGAAGATCATGGCGCTCTTGCTGCTGCTTGTCGGAGTCCTAATGCTGGGCTACGCGCACGGCAGCGACAACGACAACAACAACAACGACAACATCAACAACAACAACGACGACGACAAGACCTCCTCCCACGACCAGGTGAGGTAGATGTCGGATGAACTCTCTCTCAAGCCCCCGACGTTCAAAATACCGCTCGCTGCCAATCATGTCATGGGCCTGGTCAAGCAGTAGACTGCGGCAGTACATATGTAGTCTACCATGTACCTTCACCGACCACGTTCCATCTGGTGCGCTCACAACCACCACCATCTGCTGCCCTATACACACTGCTGTTGGATTGTCGGTGTGGTGTTATTGGCTGCGAATATCGTCTACAGTAGGCGTTATAGTCCCAGTGCAACGGCATTGCTGCTGTACTCCACAGCAGTAGTTCTGTAGGCTGTGGGCAGAGGCGCTGCCAATTTGTGCTGGGTTGGCGTCGTCAGTAGGACTGCGTTGTCGTACAGTACGGTAGTTCCCCCGCATTTTCGTAGATTGCTGTCGACTTCGTAGATCGCTGTGGGCGCGATGGTATGTATGTAGCGCAGAGTTGCGGAGGAACCCGCTCTGCCACACTTTTCTGCTGGCGCTGAGCTACAGAGAGCAGGGCCCGCCCCAATCAAAGTGAGTGAGATCAATTGTTCCTCTAGAATAGTCGGGGTCGCCCCACATCGCAATCACATTACATCTGGAGTCGTGATGGCAGGCAGCATAGCTTCCGCAACAAACGTGTGTGTCGTGTTGATCAGTCATCGGTTTGGTCGTTAGCTGTTGTTCGCCCTTTGTGTCAGGGGGGCGAGGCGGAGCGGACGAGACGACTCTGGTTTGACTTCGCCATTGCCAACCGCTGGCGCCGCTCCTGGCCTTGAGACTAGAGAGAGTTATCAGGCCAACTAACCTTGACTGTTCGTGCTGCGGCCGTGGCAGCCGGGTTGACGATGAAACACCGATTTGTCTTGCCCACCGCATGACCCGATTTAGCCAACTGCTTCGTGCCCGTGATGTGATGTGGTATGCATACATATCGTCACCTGCTTCACGGAAATCCTGAATGTCATCGATGACGATGCTATCGGCACATCATCCGTGCCTGATTCCCGTCCCGGAGCCGCTGCTCTTAAGAGCTCCTCGGTCACTCACACCCACGGTCCGCATGTTCTCATCTCCTCTCATATCTCACCATCCACCAAGAACAACAACACACGAGCGATGCGGCCGATTACAGCAGAAGAAAGTAATATCCGCCGTTGAGATTACCGCATGACAACACAAGTCTACTTCTGTATGAATGCGACATTACCAGATCGGCACCGCGACTCTTGCTGCTGTAGAGAAATCGAGCTTTGAAAATCCGTCCACGGGGTGTGATACCTTGTGTTTGTGTCACTCATCTGCTGTAGTTGAGAGTTGAGAGAGTACTCTTGGGAACAAACCGTAACCGCACCTTACGAACTCCGCTCTGCTGTCGTAAGGGTGTCTACAATGAAGCCCGTGGCATTAATACTGCCATTTACCATGTATGTCTTATGTCGTGTGCATGCACCTGAAACGCGCAGTATCGACCAAGCACGGCTGCTGTCCTAGGAAGATTGGCTGCCATACTGACGTAGAGTACATCCGTCCGTATTATGTCCTGCCGCTGTTGACTGCAACCCCGGAAAATTTGAAATTCCCAGTTTCCGCCTAGTGTCAGCTCCCGAGTCTGCACCTTCAGCAGTACCTGCTTTGCCGGTACTTGTACGAGAACGGCGAGAAAAACACAAAGCACACAAGAAAAGCAGTAAGCCTTCCCCCCACTGCTGCCAATTACTGCTGTATTTACTGCATATTCGTGGCGTCTCGAGCCATGTATTCCTATTGTACATGCATTCTGTGTACATTGCATGAAAAACTCGTAAAGTTTTTTTTGTGATGTGCAGAGCTGAGAAGCTGCTGTGTACGGAGAAGTAACTTCCAAAGCCTTTATGCATTCGTTGCTTTGTAACGTGTACCGAACTCTTTGCGTGAAGAATTCTCCCGCCCCAGAATAAAGTAGAATCCAAGCCAGCAAACCAGCAATCCAAAGACAAACAAATTGAGAGTGCGTGCACTACTGCACAACATGTCAACGATGCACATCCTCCTCGTTGGTCCTCTTTTCGTCCGTCCGTCACGGTGTAATCCACACACGAGCAGGAGCCCGTGGTCGTTATCGAGCCTTCCGTCCTGCCCGGAAGCAACTATGGCGACAGCAGCTCCCGGCCGTTCCAGCCGCTGTTGAGCGTCGACGAAGACGCCACCACTACCACCGCCGCCTCCACCCACGACCGTTTTGAGCACGTTGGCTGCCTGAAGTTGACGGAGGAAGAGATGATCTCCCTCGGGAGGATCGAGACCAAGGCCGAAGCTGACATCATCCCGGGGGTGTTCGGCAGGGATGACATGACCCCGCAGGTACGTTGGTGGGCCGATTGACATAACATCGCGGCTACTGGTGGCCAAACTGCAATAAATCCCGTCTGGACATCATGCCATAATTATGTACGTCGCGAATATTCAAGTTGAGTTGCGGCCATCCTTCAGTTGTCGGTTATGGTGTGGCTTTTGGCGCAATCAGGACGTTTGCGGTCACTCGGCTCTGCCGTCTTTTCACGCACCACATCTCTGTTGCTCGTTGACTTCTGCTGTTCCTCTTTCCCCTCTCTCGCTCTCAGCAATGTGCTGTAATTTGCGAGGGCGGGGGGCAAGATGGCTTCGCGGTCACCCGAGGCGACCTGTGCACCTGCTTTGCGGAAGCAGACGCCGGGATCTTCGAGGACAGGAAGGGTGGTGTATGCGATGCCCCCTGCACCGGCGACAGCTCGCAGCCATGCGGCGGAGTTGGCTCGTTCGACGTGTACCGGCTGAGCCTCACAGGAGGCCGCGACCGGAACCAGCTCCCTCGCCACGCCACCGTCACGGTCGAAAGCACCGGATTGCCCGTGAACGATGAAACCACCACCACTGCCGGTAAGACGAGGGATTCCCAGGATTTTACTCTCACTGTACCGTAGCTGATTCTCCTTGTGTGAATGCGTGGCCAAAGGTGGTCGAAACGGTCTGTACAATGCTGCCACATATTGTTGTGCGTGTCAAGGGTGTGGCCCACGGCGTGGTGCATCGTGTCCCGTGCGTGCTATTTCTTGGGCTCCGTTGGCAACCGCACGCATGCATTCATCACTCTACGGTAAATCTCGTCGCATGGATTGTACCAGTCTTGGTATTGGTATATATGATGTCGATCTCGAGGACAAGACAAGCCGCGCCGATATGAGTAAAAAAGCACTCGCTCCTTCACGACACGTTTGCTTGTCGATCTCACCCCGACACACTACACTGAGGCCGAGTCTTGCACGTGGGCGTGATGTGTCCCTCTTGTCCCTGATGAACCTTTGCTTTGGACTTGCTTGTCGGACACCAAACTAAGTATTGGAGAAATCCTGCGCCTAGGACGTGGGGTCTAAGACTCTGCTGCATCGTTTTCTTCTCTTAAGGGTCACTTTTTCGTGATCACAAACTATCACATTGAAGGTTGAAGTACCTCACGCCGCCGTTTCCACAGGAGTCGCTTCATCCGGCACCAGCACCGCCGACACCAGCACCGCCGACCTCAGCGGCACCACCACCACCACCACGACCAGCAACGGCAACAGCATCAACATCAACAACGATGGCTACGACAACAACGGCGACAACGGCTGCAGCAGCAGCAGCAGCAGCAGCAGCAGCAGCAGCAGCAGCGTCATCAACACCAGCGACGACGACCACGACGACAACACCAACGGCGGCACCAGCAACAACAACGACAGCAACAACAACGGCAACAGCAACAACGGAGACCACGACGACGATGCCCCTGGCCCGGAAGACTTCACCGACGGCGACGCAAAGACCAACGACAATGTGAGGAAAACCAACCACAGAACTCATCTACTTCTCGGAATATGGCAATCATTCTCTACAGTTTCATACCGAAACGGTATTGCGGCCATCAGTGGGTCAGTAGCGGACTTGGTGAACTTGAACATAAGGTATATTTCAACCGTGTAGTAGTAAGGGTTAACAAGCGATCTGGCGGTGCCGATCTGTGTCAACATGATGGACGAACTGTGCTACAGAAGTTCGAGACGCGGCGGTGACAGATAAGGTAGCCTCAAAGTCAGGATACCAACATCCACTCACTCACCCACCCACCACACACACGCGCGCTGTGGGGGCGTTCCACCGCTCCGTGCAGGGTAGATAGGTTGCCGCACCTCCACAGACCCGCCGAAACGCTTTTTTATGATCCTCCTCCAAACGCTCGTTGTACAGATTCGCCAGGGGACAGTGAAAGTCAAGACCTTCGTCAGCTGGTGGAGGCCACGCCAGCTCACCCTGGTCGACGCTTCAACCCTGAAGCTGTGCAAGATGGCCCGCGGAGGAGGGGTCAAGTCCTGCCAGGTTTGTACCCTGCTACCACCGCCCTCGGTTTGCTTCCCCCCGTGTTTTGCATCTAACAACCTCAATCGAGGTTGAAACCAAACGGATATTTGTTTTGCCCGCATGTGCTTTGCACAGGCCGGTTGGGTCCATGGCAATCTATTCGAACATGGGTTGCTAGCTGTTTGGTGCCGCTAGGCCGCTATTACCGCAGTGGTGTGCAGTAGTCAGTACGGCACGTAACCTCTCGGTTTGCTCCCAGAGCCAGAATCTTATCTGGGCAATCAAGAGCACACGAATCGTCTGTACGGTGTGGAATGCTGAGCGATGATCACCCCATGACTTGCACCGTAAATGGTGTCGCTGCTCTCTTGTCCTGTTTTTACCTGCGGTCGTTTCATAACACTCTCTGCGTATTATTCTCGTTTGACGTGCCATCTGTCAACTCTTAGGACATGCCCTTGGATAGTTCGACCGAGGTGGTACGGGTCGAGGGTAAGCACGGGAGGCCCAGGAAGGACGGACGCTTCGTGTTCCGTGTTTCGACAGGAGTTCCTAGAGGTCTGACGAACAAACGGGTGAGCAAACGGCGTTTTCCATGCAACATACCCCTCATTTATGGCTTGCATCAAGCTTGTTATCTATCGGTATGCTCACAATGTTCCTGACATAGCGACAAAGGGTGCTGCGCTATCGCGTACTCTCGAGCCAGCTAGCCGGAGATGGCCGTACAACCATTCACGCAATAGTAGCAGTACCTCACGCTGCACCAACCACCACGCCAACTTCTCATGCGTACCTAACCAACCATCTTTTTGTCGATTGCTCTCCGTCACCGCCCGTGTTCGTCCTGGCGTTGATGGTCCGCTTTCCGTCATTCATTTGCTAACGATGCCTTCCTTCACAGTGGGAGCTCGATGCGGGAAGCTCCGCAGATTTGGACAAGAGGATGTCGGTCCTAGAGGGTGTCACAACGCGCGATTTCGAGAAGGAGGCAGATTTTTTCTGGGTAAGTACTCGTTGTTGTTTTTCATTGTACTGGACGTGTTTGGCGAGGGGCGGGGGCGTGTTGTCGATGCCGTAGCTGTCGTTGTTGGTGTTGGCGTTGCAGTCGCTGCTCTTCAACACGCTGTCGCTTCTGTGTCTGTATTGTAGCCGGTAGCCAACGGTACGGTAGAGTTCCTCCTGCCACGGCACGGAAGCGTACGGTAACCGTAGTAGCCTTCATTCCACGAGGCACCTACAGCAGCAACAGACAAACCCGAGTCCATGTCTTCCGTTCCATGCACCTAATCAAATTCTGCAACATGCACTCGTGCGACGCGCCACTATTGCAGGACACTCCGCGGGCGGGTGACTTGGGGGACTCGTTCAAGTTCTCCACGGAGCTCGGGCCATTCACGTTCGCCCCCACGCCCGCCTTCCGTGGCGACAGCATTTCTGTCGATGACTACCCGCTCATCCCCGGCCAGTTCCTCTCGACGGCACCGGTCGTAAACTCCGCCAACCTGGAGGTGACGGAGGTCGGGGACCTCATTCTGCGGCAGGGCGACATCCCGGCGTACCCGACTAACGACACACCGCTGTGGGCCCACCGTGTTACGGGGTCGGTCGGGTACACCGCCAGCGGGGGGCTAGGGTGCGCTCTGGAGGCGTGGTGGGAGAGGGCCACCAACGGCGGAGAAGACATGGGTATCCCCGTCCACTTGGCCGTGAAGAACGGCAGGTGGAGGGTCGGCAGGGGTTGGATGTGCACCCTGGGACGAAGCCCCAGGGTGGCGGGAGGGTGGAGGGTCCACCTCCCGTGGGACTCCCACGGGAAGGCCCTGAAGGCAGCGTCGCTTCAGGTCCGCGACGGCAGTGCCGTGATGGCCACGGAAGACGGCCACATCCTGTGGAGCTCTTCGCCCTCGCCATGAAGGGGGGTGTGGGGTGCCGTCAGTGGTTGCTTCCTGAGTCATTCGATACGTGCCCGTTCTTGTGACGGAGTGCCGAGGAAGGGAAGGATGGACGCACGGATGGAGAACGGTTTATTTGTGAACGCAGGACAACAGCCCTTCTGTTGCTCCGTCGTGTACATGTGGTCTGTTTCAGCATCTGTGAGCGGGCGTGGTGAATCATCTCATGTCTTGTCGGTTTCGTTTTTTGTCTTGAGAGCTCGTTCTACGATTGATTGTATCCTGCATGGTTCTGGGCTCAAGGTTGGGTTTCTCGGCTTGCTCATCCGTTTGGCGGTTGCCCTAGTGCAGTCTTGCATTCGCCCCCCACATGGAGTAGTTTTCTTTTGTTTCATTGTGCATTTTTCTTTGTTGTTCCCTGCAAGCTCGTTAATCATCTCTTAATCGCAGTTTTTTTTCGTTTTTTGTCGAAAGTGCTGGTGGTGTCAATTGTTAGTGCACGGGACGAAAGGCCTTCCGCCCCGCGTTTGTGCTTGTTATGAATGTCAGGCTGTTTGATCGTTCGATTCCACCGTTATGGTCGGGGGAGCATCATTCATTTCCGCTGAATATGCTGCGGTGGAGGTTTTGTCTGCCACGGCATCACACCAATAAGAAGGGGGGTGTTGTCTTGAGTGGTACACCTATGTTTGACTACAATGTCGGATTCGATTTTTCGGCACCCTGGTGTGGATGATGCTCGGCGACTGGGAAGCCGCCACAGATGTACGCTGAATCTAGACTTTGGGACAAGCACGACCGGGCGGGGAACATGTGTTGTGAAGCTATTTGACATTTATCTGGACGTGACGAAAGTGTTGCACCTTCAGAAAGTACCGCCGAGGGTATTCGTTATTTTCCGGCCCACTGCTCGTAGTCGTCGTTGTTGTCTACCCACTGCATAGTCCGTCCTGACCTGAGTTCAAAACCTCTTTTTCCTTTTCCTGCATCCATTTAGACTATGTACACTTTCACCAAGAAGGAAAACGTTCGAAATCATGTAGAGCAACACCAGCACCGCCTTTGCCAGCGCTCACTCACGCACGTACAAATTGCGGCACCAACCCAGCGAACCAAGAGTCCAAAGACGGAGTCTCAGAACTCGCTGCGAAGAGTCGTTCTTATGAAATCACACAGAAAGACAGACACGGCGACGAGAGGCCCCAAAATTGAAACGAACCGCGTGAGGGCCAGAGTAGAGCCCACCGACCGTATCATTTGGAACCTGAAATGCTATCATGCACGATGAAAGGATTCCTGTCCTCCGCCCAAGTCGCTCAGATTGCTTCCGTGGCCCAGCCACCCTAACTGCAGTAGTTCAACTGGATCGCGGGCAGGGGTACAAGCACGCAAAAAGGCTGCTTGCCGTAAACCAACACCAAAATCTTGTGCTATGTAGTAGGGGGTGGCGTCCCCCTGCCACTTCGTCTCGGTGAGTGCAAACAAATAAGACTACTAGACTGTTGGATGTGTGCATACCGGTCGCCCCGATGGTCTAGTTGGTATCCTCGAAACCTTCCAGAGGTCAGGGCAGGGGTTCGAATCCCGGCGTAAGCGAGCTTTTCTTGCAAAGTGAGTTTTTCTCTCGCTTCCGCTCCTGGCCTAGACCTAGTGGATAGCGCTAGTTCGTGTGTTCACAGAGGGATGAGAGTGCTGAACTCTTGTTGCATTAAAAATCGAAGGCAAGGTACCGCAGGAGGGGAGGGTAGAGAGGGGCTCTTCTGTGTGACCACGCGTTGGAGTAAACGGCACTAGTGCTGTGGGCGCTGATTTGAAGCGAAGACAAAAAAAAAAAAAAAAAACGTAAAGACAACTGCTGTGGATGCACGCTGTGTGCATCCCCCCGACTCCGATTTACAATATACAACGGACATGCTTGCTGAGAACTGTAGTTCACAGCATGTACCGGCAGTAGTAGCTACCCTGCTGTGGATGTGGTTGCTGTGGTTGCTGCTGCTGCTGCTGCTGCTGCTGCTGCTGCTTCTGCTGCTGCTCGGTGGGCACGATCATCAGTGGGACGCTGAAGGTCGTGAGCTGTGAAATATGAAAATGTCTTCTCATTGTCCCGAATGTCGAAACCGATTGAACGATCATTCAACACACCCAGCACTCTACCCCATCACATGAACCACGACTTCACAAGTATTCTGCGGAAAGATCCCAACCAAGTCGGACGTGCGATGAAACTATCTGGCTTTGCGTGATGTCATTCATCACGGTCGTATGCATATGTCATGCGTGTACCTATGGTTAAACACAGCAGGTGGTACATGCTTTTGCCGAGATCTTCAATGTCCCGCCCCAAACAGCCTACTTTTAGTGAGCTGTGAGCCTGGCCAATAGTATACATGATACTACTGCCGTAGTTGGTGCAGCCGGTTCATCACCCCGTAGGCCGTACCCGTGGCTAGCGCATGCAGCCGAAGTCAGAAGTTTCATTATCTCGTAGGGCAGGTAGGTGATGTCCGTCCGTCCGTTCGTTCCACCACAAGCCACAACACAACACCGTTGACGATGGATTGGCGAATCATTTCCGCTGGCAGGACCAAACGACTTTCTTTTGTTACTCCGCATTATCATCATCGTCATCATCACCATCGGAAAAATTAAACGTGAGTGACCTCACACCCCTCCCCGCCCAAGGGCACACACCCGCCCGCACCACTCCACCCAACACCGACGCCAGGGGCAATGACGAGGGCGAATCCTTCATGCGGAAGGCCAAGACGCGGGAAACGCCGAGGAGGATGGCCTGGTTAGCTCGACCAAGTCTTCTCACAATGCTTTGACTCACTCCTCTCTGGCTTTTGTCGCCAACCCGACAGGTGAGTGAGCCATTTCTCGAACTCTTTGAGCACTGTACGAGACTCAACTTTAGTGTCCTGCGTACTCTTGAGATAGATGTTGAGGAGAAGGAATGTTACTGCCTCACGTAGCAATGTGTCTGTCTCTTGTAGGTTCCCCGAGCTGGACGAGATAGGCAATCTCAGCGGGAATGGCGTAGAGCAAGATTTTGCCGGAGGAAGGCGTTTTGACCTGTTCATTCATCGACGTGAAAACCGCCATCATGACGACAGACAGCAGAAGGCGGTGCCGGACGAATCTCATGCCACATGACCTACTGCTGCCATCTGGGTTCTCGCCCCTTCTCGTCCGCGTTCGGCCGTTCAATGCTTCTTCATCGTTTACAGATGGCGCGCAATAGATCAATTTTCGTGCACCTGAAGGCCCATTACATGTACATGCAGACTATGCCCCCAGTGCTGCGGTGGCGCACGCAGGCGGTGACTTATCACGACGAGCAAGCCAAACAGGGAAGAGGGTGGTTTTCGCAGACATGCAATAACTTCAACTACGGGTGGATCCTATTCTTATTATGCCGGCGGCAGCGGGTTGAAGACGATATTGAATACATACAATGCCCCTGGAGCAATCAACACAAACACAACAACAATCAAGCATGCAGAGAAAGCACTAGGGAACACTCCAAAGAGTGGAGAGGCACGACATGATGGTGCTCGTGCAATGTAGGCATGCTTTAGTTAGTCAATCGAGAAGCGGGAGATGCGATTGGAATGTGAATGAACAAACACTGCCGACTTTCACTTGGAAAATCATCCTGTTGCCGATTACCCGATGTATACAGTGAATCCTGAGGCTGATTTCACCGGCGTGTCATTTTAGTGTTCAAGCAAAGACACACCCAGCCCTTTCGCGTATTGCGTGCCGCGGTCGGAACCGACCTACCGTTTCCAAGCCTCTTGGAGATGAACTACATCGATTGCCAGTGGGAAACGTTTTTCTCATCCTCTACACTCTACAGTAAACTATGGACATGCGTCCACATTGATTGCTTCTTCAACCTCTTCCCACAGACGGATATGCGTCCAAACCTTGACACACACGACGATTTATCGACAAAAGCCACAACGGCTGACTGTGGCGACCGAAGTCCGGTATGAACCAGCGCCGCCCAATGAGACTTCGTTATTTTTTTGTTGAAGGAAGTATATCCTTATCCGCGTCAAGGTAGCTGATGTACAAAATTATTGCCATCGTTGTCTTGTCCACGTAAGCAGGCGAGAACGCATACGTACGGGTTTAGATTTGTATGCAGTCTAGAAAATAAAACGGCCACGGATTCACTATTGTTGTGAGGCACGTTTCGGTTGCAATTTGTTGGTGATGGGCCGGGCATGTACCCTTTCTTCGCAGTTCCCAATCGAACTTGCTCGTCATCGTCGTCGTCGTCTACCGTCCCAAACCTTCGTCCACGTTCTGTAAGGTCGATGTCTCCAGTCCTAACTTTGATCTTCACCTTTGTCCCTGCATCTGTTGGTCCATGTACTCGTTAAACCCCGTCCATATTCACTCCGGCCCGCAAAAAGTTATCCCGTAAGGGTGCCCATATTCACACACCCGACGAACCAACTGCCCAACCTCTTCCCTCTACACCTTCCCAGCATCCTATACAGATAGATTCACAAGACGCCTACCAAACTGTCTTTTTGACCCTGTTACCCACTGGGGAGATATTACGGTGTGCTGCTCGTAAATCGTGGAAAAATCATAATTTTCGCTGACGCTATGGATTCATTACTAATCAATCTTAGACTATTTTCTTCGATAGAGATGGATTCGTTGGGTCAAATTGGTGGAAAAAATTAAAAACGTTACCGCCCTCGGGTACCCGCCCACGCTTCTCCCGTCGACATTCTATTTATTCTTGCCATGTAGTGACCGCATGCATAGTAGAATAGTGCACTACGATAGTGTGCACGTCAATCAGGTTTTATCTGTAGAACAGATTCAGATGAAACAATGACAACAAATATCACGTTGAGTGCCCGCGCCCAGGACTGGTTGTTGTTGGTGGTGGAGAAACCACACGACAATCATCTACACCCACACCACATCCTCGACTCAATTTCCAGTGGGACAATAGACCCGGAGAAGCATCCCGCCCCTGCGCGCGTGAACGAATAACCCCTACTATACAAGCGCTCGACGGACACAAACCAATCTGGACGTACGTAGGCGCTCGCAGTAGTGCCGAGTGTTCCGTTTGCTTATCGCCAATATATTTGCGGGCCTATCATTCATTCTCTACGCGAAAGTACACACCAATCCCGAAATTCACCATTTCGGGGGGATGCACTTACTACACGGTTGAAATTCCCTTGCCGGCCCTGGCTAAACCGATAATACTATGGCTTCATGCAGAGAGTGAAACCCAAAATGAGGTACAAATCCCTCTCCGGCCTTCTTCAATACTGTAGCTCGGGAAGGTAGACAATACAAACCGGGTTTGTTTGAGTTCCTGGGGTACAATATCCGACAATACCCAATGTTTATGCCCCCCCCACCATCGCCCCGGTGGTCTAGTTGGTACCCTCGAAACCTTCTAGAGGTCAGGTCAGGGGTTCGAATCCCGGCGCAAGCGAGCATTTCTTACAAAGTGAGTTTTTCTCTCGCTTCATAGTGGATAGCGCTAGTAAGTGTGTACACAGAGGGAAGAGAGTGCTGAACTCTTCTCGCATGAAAAATCGTAGGCAAAGTACCGCAGGAGGGTAGGGTAGAGAGGAGCTCTTCTGCGTGACCACGGGTTGGAGTAAACGGCACGAGTGCTGTGAGCGTTGATTTGAAGTGAAGACAAAAAAAAAAAAAAAAGGGAAAAGGACAGAAAGTGCTTTTACTCAAAGTGTAGAACGATTGTAACAAGCCTTCGTTCGCCCGGCTCCTCTTGCTTCTCCTTCGATTCCCGCTCGCCATCCTTCCTACTCCTCTTCATCCCCATCCTCCTCGTCCCCCCGCCCCCCCTCTCCTTCTCACTCCCTCTTTTTCGCTGGCCTCTACTTCTATTTCCCGCCGAGAACTTTTTTCTTTCAGCTGGTCTTGCGTCGCCAACAATCTCGGCAGGCCCACACCCCCTTGAGCTGACCATCGTGCTCTTCGTGTCGTCGTCTAGGTGATAAGCCGTACAGCGCGCAGGCTCGGCGAGCGTGCACGAGCCCGCATGGCTAGGGCGCACCCAAGTGACATCAACCCCCGTATAGTCACGGTACCTCTTGTAGAAGCATAGAAGTATGGTGCATAGGCGGGAAGGATACTTGCGCCTTTTCTAATCTTAAATCAGTTGGGGTCACTTTCACCCTCCCCCCCCAAAGCAATCGTCAAAATTTGAAATGGGTACTTACAGACGTTCCGCTGCCAACGTACCATATCGTTATTTTCGAACCCGTTCAACAATTCTTTACGACCTGAGCCCACTCTGTTCTGCGGGTTGTCCACCCCTTGGCGTTGTTTGTCCCACCTCCCAAGTCATTTTCGGCAATCTCTCTTCTCCCATATCTGCATCCGGTACTGCCATTGGTGCCTTGTGGGGCGAGATACAGCTGGTGGACTAATCCCCCACCGGGGGTTGTTGCGGGGGGTATTTAAAACACGCCGGTTTACAGTAGTTTCCTGTCTTCATCTGCACCCCCTCCATCTCGTTTTCTATCTTCATTTTTCCTTCCAGTACTTCTTCGGCGTACACTCTAGCGGCGGGATGATATCGCTATCTTAGATGAGCTTGGCGATGAGCCCCGTTCAAGACAAGTGCCTTTACGACGAAGGAACCGTGTGCATGACGGTGCTGTACTCCTGAGGTTCGAGCTTCTGTTCTATGTTTTGTTTTCTCCATGATGTCGGGACGTTGGATCGCTCCATTCTATGGTTGTTTCGGGGAGTATCATTTGTTTGCCCTGAATACTCTATACCAATATCTGTCTTTGACACGTGGTGGTGAAACCAACAAAGTGGAGCGTTGTCTGGGGTGGCACACTTACGCTGATGATATTTGATGATTTTCTGACACCCGACATGGGGATGATGTTAGGCGACTGGAAAGCCGTCACACATAGTATGTGGGGTCAGAAACGTACAGCCGAGTACTGTAGTTTTCTTCCGCAACACAACATGACACGCAAAGAAATACGAAATTCAGGCAATACAGTATGTAGCTCCAATAGCTCACGCCCCCCCCCGGTTCAGAAGCAGAAGTATGGCTCAACCATGGCGACGAAGCTACGTACCCAATTACCAGAACGCGTACACACGCACGGATTATTTTGGGCTTGTGTTGCCCTCCCGATATGGGGCGGGAAACACATACACTCCGGCACGCCTTCAAACACCGCATGTCTCGCCGCAAACCCGTTCTTCCTTATTGGAGCAGCGTGTTCTCCCTCTCTCTCCCTCTTCCTCTTTCTCTCGTGCCCTTCTTTGCATGGTGCTCTCCGCATTTGTTTTCATACACCCTGTTTTCTCAAGGCGAGAACTCCTTTGTTCCCACCATGGAGGACGGCACCCCGAACATTCCTTGACCTTCCTCCGTGTACCTCTCTCGCGATGTCCTCGCTCGACGGAGGAAATGAGGAGCAAAGGCGCCCGTTTGTTGACGAAACTGAGCAACAGAACATTTTTTAAGTTTTTGTTGCGCTCGCAACCCTTCAAGCGGTAACTGCCAGCTCGGCCTGCCTCGTCCTCCTCATTCTTCACAGCCGAACTTGTACTGTAACTCATTCCACTGCGGGGTCTATGCGCCCTTGCCGAGCTCTCACCGAACCTTTACATAGTACAGAGGCCAGGAACACCTGCATCCCCGGAAAACGCTTACCTTGGGATGAAACGCTCGCAACACAGGGTGACGGAGAAGTTTCTGATCGATAAGGAGGGAGTGGGAGAGAGTTATGGGAGAGCCGTGGCGATATGATTGACCCTACCTGGAGAAGGTGGACGTGTAGGTCGTACACAGCACGGTAGCATACAAATTTGCACTCTACTACTGTACAATGTACTGCCAAGTACAGTACACCACGGCGCTGTAGTACACATACGTTGTTTGGTTGCCTCCCCCCAAAAATACGGGTGTAACGGATTCTTAAGCTGCGAATCCGTTTGGGTGGATGCCTTCTACTCGCGAACCACAATGGTGTACTCATCATCTTCCGAATTCGGACGTTCATATTGCGGTCGCGACAATTGTTTCGACCGGAAAATATTGGGAGCGCCGTAAAATGGACAAGACCTTATGTCAGAGCATCTACCTGCGAGAATGCTGAAGAGAATGATTCCGCGCGTGTGGAGGACCACTATGCGCTCTCAATTACGCTCACAACACTTGCCGATTCATTTCATTGAACACCTGAGAATCAAGTCCGAGCATTCCCGTATACTCGCGACGGACAAGGTGGAAAATTCATTTTCATTCGACGCGGAGACAGCGAGCGGTCAGTGATTACGCATTACGCTCTTGTTTGCACCTATGTTGACAACTCTAGATAGACAAAGGGTGGCAATAGGACACAATCAACGGACGAGAAGACAACCGCGCCAACTCGGAAACTGTCAGACGAGACCGGAAACAACGTTCAGTGCAGCATCTCGTTCATATTGCAGAAGACTGCCCTCACACTGACATGGAGGGAACCGGGAGAGTGAATGTCGTCGGACTTTGCCGCGCACCAAATCAACCTAAAACCATGCCCTAGCAGGAGTACGGAATCGGTGTTGCCGCATATTTCAGAATTCAGAAAGGGGAGAGTGGAACATAACGACGGCACAATGTTATCCTGGGTCCACAACTATCGTAGTCAAATTCATTGAAAAAGGCAAGGGAGAGAAGCGATAAACCTCCCTCGTTGCCATTCGGCCACACATATATATCCGATGCAGAGATAAATTACACACACAGCTACGCGATTGTCTCATTTCCTCCGCAACCTCCGCACTCATTGTCCAGTCGCGCGGTTCACTCCGTCGACGCAAGTTTACCGTTGGTAAGACTAAGGTCGAAACATTTGTTCTGGAGATATTCTGGCTTGACCTTTCACTCTCTGCTGTTGGACGTCCAAATGGAAGAACCACGGCATTTACACGACATCGGTAGGCACAAGCACGATCACGACGTTTCTTCGCAGTTGAAACCGAGATCACCTCTCGATAGCCAATTTGTTCTCATGGTCTTGCGAACGGTGTCAGGAAGTCCAGAGTGGGAGTTTCTTCTCGTGAAGCAGCAGTATACAACAGTGATTGTACATGCATATTCAGTCATCATCGAAGAAGACCTTGCACAATGATCTCTTTGGGCTTGGTCATGGTGATCATCCCACGGCCCTTCTTCCCCCTCATTGGCCGGCCAGGGACCCCGCCCCCCTTACCAAGCGATCCACCGCCTCCGCCCTCGCCCCACCCGGTCAAGGACATAGGAAGGGAAGGGAAAGAAGATTTGGTGGACCCTCCGTCGTCGCCTGTGTACTGAGGGTCGGCGTTACAGCCGACTCTGCTGCTTGTGCTGTTTTTCGGGGAGACGTGAGCATTTGGTCGTGCAGGAACGTTGCGGGGGTCCCGCGGGTTGCGCGTGTACGGCCGCTCGTGGGTCAGTGGCCTCTCCCTCGACACCTGTTTAACCTATGCTCGATTGTTTTCGGAAACAGGTTTGTACGCGCGTGGATAAGCAGAGAGGGTGCGTTGAGGGGAGGGGTGACTAAGAGCTGCGCTTATCGCGTGCTTGACTCTCGTATTGCAGTGATTGTCTTTTCATGGGCTCGGCGGAAGCCGGGAACGAGCGAGGAGTCATGGTTGGAGCTACCGTAGTCCTGACTCAAAAACCCATCGATACTGCATGAATGGGTAGATACCGCATGAATGGGTAGTTGCCACCAAGACGGTTGTCGCTGATTAGAACAAAAATGCGGTTTGGACTAACCTATGTAACGTACCCGAGAGCTGAAGCGACGCATTTTGCACACGCCGGGCCAACCCAGCGCCCACAAAGACATGCTGCGAATCGAGCTATGATATTTGGCCTCCCATCAGAATTCGTCAATGCGGAGGTTAGGTATATCACCTGTTTCGAATGAGACTGACAGCTTTTACTATGTCTCAACTACTGCGCCAAGACTATCGCCAAGCTACCAGATAGGATCTACACTGTAGCTTGGTTCAGTGGCTGAGCCCGTTTCTTTCGTCATTTACCCAATATTTCCTACATAACTCTCGACCTCGATTTCTGGTGAACTTGTGTACGACCCGGCCGGCGCTTTTTATTGCAGGTGTCTGGCGAGGTTGTTCAAGAAGAATTATGCTTACCTTGGGCAGATATCCGGCTTCTTTTGGGGAGCCTCTCACATTCCGCCCCCAGTCGGGATCCTGTGTTCACAGTGGTTGGGAAGACGGGCGGGAAGACCGGCGTGCAACAAGTAAGCCTATGGTGCAGGCACCTGGGAAATGAAACGACTATCACGCGCGGTTGTGTCAAGATATCGCGCCACCGTCTTTCCAAAGAGAGAGCGCTTCGCCGCGCCCACAGCAGACGTGGCCTTCGATCGTTCTTTGCGCTCTGAATGCCTCCACTAGAGGCCATCTCCAAGCTGGCAGAGGGTAACACCTACCTTCACAAGCGCAAGGTGCGGATCGTCCGACGTTTCTCCCACAGACGACGACTCCGGGCCCGCCCCGGGGAAAAAACTGCCGCTCTGGCCTCCCACAGACGCGGTCAACGGAGACAAGTCTCCTCTCGTCCCACTCGCTCCCGCCGCCCCCCTTCCGTCACCACCGGCCGGGGGCGATGTGTCAACCCGTATCCCCCCCGCGAAAGGATTGACGTCTTCGAAAGCCGTGATGCTCGTCCCACGTCCAACACCACGACCACCACTACCCCTGCCACCAGACACGGCCCGCCTACCCCCACCGTCCCTGCCGCCACCGGCGGCGGCGTTGCCGTTCAGACCGAGGCCTAGCCCCCGTAGGGCGGGGGCGGATTGTACGGAGCCGAGGGAGAAGCCGAGACTGGAAGCGTCTTCACCGCCGTCCAGCATGCTGGAACCGGTGAGATCTTGACGTCTCTGACGCTCCCGGTACTCGCTACGGCTCATGTGTTCTGGGTCCTGCGGGTGGTAGGAGATTGCATTGGGTCACGACATTGTGTGGAACAACGGTTTGAGAAACAAATGGACTGTCCGATTGCTGATCTTCTAATAGCAGGCTTAGCGGGGGGGAGGACTGGGGTTGTTGCGGGCCGACGTGCTACTTCACATGGTGTCGGCCATCACCCCTTTTTCTGGTTCACATGTCAAGCCCTCTCGAGAGTAGAAACAGCAGCGTCGGTTCTCAGCGGAGCTTACACATGCTGAAATACGGCACCGCCTGGCGTTCTCAATTGGCGGCCGAATTAACAATAATTTGGAGTTTTGGGAACAACTGACTCCGAAGAAAGTTGGCTCGAGTTGGTTCCACATTCTTAACAAAAAATAGAAATCTGAAAGTTGCAAGTTGAAAAAGTGTGAAGCTTGAAAACGTGAAGCAACAACATGGCTGATGTGTAAAACGCCTAATGTGTACCTGAGGCCAACTTGGACCCTCCTTGAGGGAGCCTCCGTCGCTCACGGACACGCCAGGGCCCGGGCGGTCCAACGAGTTGGCCAGGTTTGGCTGCAGCGTCGGCTCCAGCTCGAAGAACGCCCCGCTCCCCCGCCTCCTACTTCCCGAAAGTCGCCGTGAACTCCGCCTCCGGGATGCTCTTTTTGGCACATAGATCAGGATTCGGGTCGTCGATGGGAAAGGGCGGCGTTACGGTGAGAGGGAGAGGGCAGGTGAGGTGAGGGGCGGGGGTGCCGTATCGAACAGGGAGAGAACCATTCCCCACAACAGGGACCCTGTTGTTTACATTCGTGCCTAGTTTGCTGCTGTAGAAACACAATGCTCCAGGCTGAGGCCGCAGCTGATCATGATTATGTCGACGAAGCACATGTTGCGAGACCGACGAGCGTTTCCAAAGTGCTTGGGGGGTGAACAGACCTGGTCTCTCATCGAAGCCCAGCATTTCTCGCTCCTGATCGGCTCCAACCCTCCGCTTCCACACCCAAAATTCGCAGCAGGAATCAGAAACTCGACTCACCTTCTCAAGGACAAACTCGAGCGTTTCCTTTCCTTCGAAAATGACGCGGAGCCGCTGATGCTGCCCCTTGTTTTCCCAACGCCACTGCCGTCGCGGTGCCTCTTTCCCCCGTCCAATCCCCCGCCGTCGTCACCGCCAACGCCGCCGCCACCGTTCTCGCCTCCCGCCAGTTTGTCCCGAACATCGCGGAAGTTGTAGAGCGCGCTGACGACGGTTTTAGGCATGGCGTCGCCCTGGACCCTGTCCACTATGAGGAGCTCGCCGGCCCCGTCTATCGTCCACTCGCGCCCTCCGAGATCCTGCGTCGATTCATCCGACGGAAAAAATGAACGATGGTGGAAACGAGAGAGACTTGTCGGACGAGCTCTCTGCCGACGATTCTCATGAAGCTTTCACGATGTTTTCATAGTGCTGCTGAACTTCAGGTTCGGGTTATTAAATAGCACCCACGAAAGAGAGGGGGATGAAGAAGTACAGAGATGTTGAGATGGGTGGCGGTGCAGGTCAAGGACAGAAAACAAGTGTCAAGGAGTTGAGAGCCTGCTGGTATTCGGTGCTGTGCCGTGTTACGGTGGTGGGGTGGTAAGAAACAACAATATGTACACCAACAATACCCCCTCGCCGTCATCCCGACTGGCGCCACGCTCGTCAACAGAGAGAACGCCAAGGGCTGGGGGGAGAAGTTTGGGGAGGGCCTGCGGGAGGGTCGGTGGGAGATGCCGCACGATGAGGCAACACACGTTCAGTGACTCTTCCCCCACACCAAAGAAGGTGCCTCAATATGCTGACCTTAAGCCTGCTATCCAGGTCGTCTTCTTGCCGATCGCTGCCGTCCGTTCCCCCGTCCCAAAGACACCCGCTCTCGGACTCGCCGCCGCTGCCTTGACGTCTACCCCCCTCGCCGCGGTTTGCTCCAGTTCGTTTCGCGCAGTGACCACCGCGACCGCGCTTGGCCCTGGAGTCTCCCCCTTTTCTCGACATCCTCACGCTGTGACCGGGGATAGTCGGCGGGAGGCTTTGGTCCTCTCGGACTTCGGGCGCGAGAGGGAACGGCACCCCCGACGAATCTTCCTTGCAGCTGCTGCTGTGTGGCCGGTGTCTCGCATGGCCGCCGCCGCCGCCGCCATGGCGATGAGCGCTAAGTAGGTCAGTCGTTTTCAATCCGGTTGTTATTGGTGTCGAAAACCCCGTCGTCGGCACCGTCAGCGTCGCCATCGAGATGGACAATGAACGGAGGCGGATAGGAAGGTGGAACGGCAAACGACAAGGAAGGAGAGGACCGCGGTAGTACGGGAATGCTCTTAGGTTTGACACCACGATGGCTTCTAGCGGATGGGCGTGCGTAAAGCTCCCTGCTTCGTTCTGGCGGCTCGAAAGTACTGGAAATATGATTTCTGCCCTGTCGGGTGTTCCGCGCGTACCACGTCTGACTTTCACATGTCGAGGGCGTATCACGCTCAATCCGAAACTCTATCCTCCCAATCTTGCGATTTTGTCTATAGACTGTAGAAAGGTCGTGTGCGTTTACCTGGTCATTCCAGTAGCCGTCGACCTGACGGAGCGTAGGGATCGCCCTCCTTCGCTACCGTCATCGCTAGATGATCCCCGGGGAAATCGATCCTGAGTCAGTCGGGTGGTGTGTTTTCATAGTGTGCACACGAGGAGCAAAGATTTGGTGCGCCAGCTACGTAGCGCTCTTGTTCTCACCCGGTCAGTGACTGCAGTCGTCGCTACTTGGGAGGGTGCATGTTGGATATGCCTGCATGGAGACCGCTTGCCGGCTCTCGCCCAGACAACAACTTGGGGAACAGCAGCATGTTCGTTCGCCGATCTGTCATTTTCTCCTATTCGTCTACGTTCAAGCCCTTGCGCGTGGCGTTTCGTCGCCAATCATCCCCTCCCTTCCTTCCAAAGAAGTTTACGCCAAGCGGCAGACACGGCGAGCAGGTTTCACTGTTCGCTTACGGAGAGTATTCGGGGGCAAACCAGATGGTAGCAGTGTGGCGTTGGGAATCACGCCAGAATGCAGGAGGCACACCTCTTCTAGCCACAACACGGATCGGACTTCCTAGTTGCACCCACTCTTAGATTTGTTGGATATAACATGTTGAAAGGTTCAGTCATAGATGACTGACCATTGGAAACCCATTTGGAGGTGCTCGGAATAGGTTAAATGGTTCGTCAAAATGAAGACAACAACCGCTGGAAACAGCAGGAACAACAACGACAACATCGCCATCCACTGATGCAGCAGGAGCAGCAGCGGTAGCAGCAGCGGCTGCGGCTGCGGCGGCTGCGGCGGCTGCGGCGGCGGCAGTAGCACCACCACCACAACCACTACCACCAATGCTACGAGAGGGATCAAACACCGGAATGTGCTAGTGATTCGGCGACTAAATGTAACGCCACATACCCAGTCGCGAACGGTCGTTCTCCTAGAGGCCACCCAGCCTCGCGCCCAACGGTCGATCGGGGGCGTTTCAGGTTCAGGGCTCGGAAACAAAGTCCCCGCCATCTGATCTTGAGGCGAGCAATGGTCGATGTTTGATGGGACGAGCGCATCGTCATGACCGTTGTCGTATCTGCAATGTTTAAGGGGGGAAATCGTGAGCGCTCACACATTGTGGAAAATACATGCATGCCACAGTAGTATTTCTCGTACCGCTCGGTCGACAAGTAAATGCTAGAGTCGTATTCGTACACTCAAGCCATTATACCGGTGGTTCGTCGAAGTGCACAGATGCAGTCTCTTTGAAAGCTGAGGAGAAACGACGGCACGTTGTCTTGAGTCGAAACCATGGGGGACACAAGAAGATCAGCAAGCCAGGTGGCCCAGAACCCTCCCAGATGCTGTCGGAGACAACACCAACCCCACCTCATCGAGGCTACGGCAGCAATTCTCACTGCAAATTCTGCGCTCATGCAACGCGCACCTTATGTCGACGCTTGCGTATATTTGAGTGATGTCGTTTGTGACTAAAACCGCCGTTTGGTCGTAGATAATCTCGTCTAGCTGACGGCCTCTGATGAACTCGAAAACTCCCGCTAGCGCGGCTCCGATTTGTTCAGAGACGGCCAATTCATGCTCCCTCTTATCCTGTCACAGCAGGGACGACGGTGACGTTACTTCAGCCTGACTATCGTCAGAACTGCCTAGGAGTGTCGCTTAACAAACACGTTCGAGGAAACAATCGAACAACGTGGGAGAGTTGAATTTGAAGCGCCTGTACGTCGTGGTGTGTCCGACCGCTTGCCATCGGGCCACATTTCGATTACAGCCATACATCAGAAACCAAAATTGTAGTCAAGAGAGGATCCCGCGAGACATACTACATTAGAGGTGTCCCTGTTCAGTGCCAGTTGAATAGCGCCGATTCCCTCAATATGTAGTGCCGGTGTTTTCGGCGGGCACACACTGAAGTTTCCAAGTCTTTCTCAATACATTCAATAGTGCCGGTCCGGTACTTGTAGAAGCATGGACACCGGTAAATTTTCTGGGCACAACCGGCACTAAGTAGGGATCAGCAATATTGGTTCTCACATAATTGTTACTCGGGATGATGGCATCATCCAAACCGATGGCAGTGATCTAAGGCATCACGAGTCCCCCCGTCCTTGCACTTTTTCTGTGCATATAAACACAACACAAGAATCTTGAGTCGGAGTCTGGACCGCTACCAAAATAATAACCAATGGGCTACAATACGATGTCCAAGCATCATGCGTGCCATGACAGCTTGAGCGCATCCGATATTGCCAGTACTCCTGTTTTTCTACCATAGAGAGGTCAATCGCAAAATTGTATCACGCCAGGAAATTATTCAACGAACACTGGAGCGCTGAAAGATATGCACGATTTGCGTAGAAGGCGCATGTGCGAGTAGACCAGTGTCAGTCATGTTCCGATGTATAGTCGTCCCAGCAACTTACCTGCAGAAACTGAAGTCCCTGGTCAACAAACTCTTCTTCTGGTGGCGGTGGAATGGGGGCCGATTGCTTTCCCGCCGGAGATTTGCCCATGTTCCTCACACTGGGGCCAAGCGTGTACCTTAGCAGAGTCAGGACAGATCCACGCTCTCCTCTTGCTGCTCTCCGTCGATACGCGGCGAATCTCGTGAAACGGTCGGAGTTGGGCCGCATTTTTCATGATTTACTGTACATGCAGATGTGCATGTAGATTTCACCTGTGGTGTACCGGTGACCTGCGGACTGTAACCCTGTCCTGTTGTACCCACGGCACGCCTCTCTCTCGCTATCTCTCTATATCTCTCGCCCTCGTTCTCTTCATGCAGTACGAGGATTCGAAGGGTGATTTGTGGGTCGAAGAGCAGGATGACGATGGCGACGTCTACTTCGTTAACGCGGATACGATGGTAAGTGTACTGTTGTGGTCGTGTGTGCAAGGATCCGGGGCATGTTTCCAGACTATTACAGAGCCATAGCCTAGTGCCTACGTGCCTACCACAGAGTCTACACCAGCTGGTGTGTCAGAATCAAGGTCCATAGACACAGGCTTGTTCTCAAATCCGGGTGGCTCTGGTTGACGTCACAGGAAACGGCTTGGGAGCTACCACCTTCGGCCAGAGAGATCGAAGCACCATACGCAGCAGACGCATCAGCATCATCGGCGCTAGTACCGTTGCAAGACTCATCCGCGAGTTGGACGGAAGTTTTCGACGAGTCCACCAACAGTAAATACTACTTCAACACCTTGACCCAGGTGATACGCATGCCAAACGGCTTCGACGTGAGCCACACGATCAAAGGAGGTCCCTTCAGTCAGGCGCTACTTATGTTCCTCCGCACGGTCGTCTCACTTTTTTTGTCTACTGTACTTGTGCATGTATTAGGGTATTTTTCTAGGCAGTCTACTCTTTGTTGCGCACGACAGACCGAACAGTATTCATCACCATCTTTGCCATAATTCTTGTACTACTCCGTACGAACACGAACTTTCATAGATCGTAGGCCATGCGAGAAGCGGCAAAGAACAAATGGGCTACTGCCGCAACCATCAGCACGTCACCTTTTGAGCTGAAAGTCCTGAAGATATCGTCGAATTGACTGCACAGATTGGATGACGGCTTGTTCCTTACTGCATAGGAAAGTTCGTGGGATCTCGGGACGGACGAGCGGCTGGCATCGGGAATCTACCATCCGTCAGGCGGAGACGACGATGCATTGATCGGACCTTACAGCAGCAGCCAAACTCTGGAGGCGGAATCTTCAATTTCTTCTAGCTGGCGAGACGAGGTGAAGAACCCGGGTAGCGTTCTACTCTAATAATCCATTTCAAGTTCTCATTATTTGAATTATTGCACCGGGTCGGTGCATGTGAGGGCAAAACTTCCCTAGCGTCTCCACCCGAAGAGTTGGGGTGCTGAAACGAACAGACTGGCACGGAGAATGGGCGCGTGTACCTCGATTGAAATTTGGGTATCGGTATGGGGAGGTTGTTTTCTGCGCGTGCAGCCTTTAGGTGCAGTTTTTAGGCAAACACGTGCTGCCCTCTGCACACACCCTTCCCATTCTCACTCTCTTCCTGACACTACGGCTTTCCCTCCCTACATATAGGTACTGGTGGGTTTTCAAGTGCCGCAGGAGGTGTCTGAGGCTGTCGGCAGAGCGGGGTCGGCCCACATTTGGCCTAGAACGGTTGACGGGCGGCCTTCACGCCTGGAGCGCTGGGACGTCCTGAAGGCAAGATCTGAATATAGTTTCAGTACGTAACCTATAGACAATTCTTTCACTTGTTTTGATTGCTTTGCCGGGGCAAAACTCCCTGGAACACCGCTTTGCGGCCGAGGAATCTGGCCAATGCCACGGGTACACGAGGGGGGGGACATGAAAAGTAACCACCCGATCAAAATTGCGACGCACTGACGCCTCACGATACCGTTAAACCCAGCCCAACTCGTACACGGCCGAGTGACGCACCACCAGGTATTGCGCGCGCACGGTTCATTTCGACTTGACCCCTTTCGCCCAAGGAATATGTATGTAGTGCGCGCATCGGAATATAGCATGAACCAGCTGAGCCTAGTGACCTTGTGTGCGGCAATGTTTTGCAACCAACCTACTCTACTGAGCGGATACAAGCTGGGCCAGCCAAGAAGCTCACTTTCGTTGTTTCGCGTCTCACTCTGCCAATTCCACGAGTTTAAGCTTGAAATTTTGTGGCTACACTAAGAAGACAATCGAGGATGCGCTGGTGCCAGAATTTTTCGAATCTGAGTTGATTTGGGTATTGAATGCTCAATTGGCGGTGTAGGCGGGGATGGTTCCGGTACTGAATTCAGTATAAAAAACGTTACAGATTAAGCCGAAAATTGGTGTGCACTTACCTGAGAGCATTGCGAGTACAATGATGGTAGTTACAAGGCTCAGGTAATCTTCCATCAAAAGTTATGGCCTCGTAAAAGATCCTATACAACACCCAACATACTGAGCGAAAGTGAGGGTATTGCGATTTCCGAGCCGGTTTTTACGAACTAGAACCTGAAATTTTGATATGTGATTGGAAACGGTCTTACAAATGCCCCCCGAAGGAGGTGCGGTTTTTTTTTGTTTTTGTTAAGCCACAAAAAAGAACTATATTGGGATTCGTAGTTATTTAGTATACCAAAAAAAAACAAAAAAAAACGCACCTCCTTCGGGGGGCATTTGTAAGACCGGTTCCAATCACATATCAAATTTTCAGGTTCTAGTTCGTAAAAACCGGCTCGGAAATCGCTTCTAACCATTGTATTGGCTTCTTGGCTGGCCCAGCTTGTAGCGCCATGTAATCTGCAACCCGCTAGAAAGCTAGAAGACAGTACAATAGAAATCTTTAAAAGCGTAGAGGTTGACCTGGTGTATTGAAAAGCTTGCTTCCATACTGTCGGCGAGATTTTGCACGAAAGAAACACGCACCAAATATCACTTTTTCAGCCAGGCGTCGGATCCTTACCGCGAACACTTCAGCACCGGAGAGGCGTGGCGCTTGGAACACCCCGAGTTCGAGCCCAAGCTCTGCTTCTACGCCTTCGACACCGCGGTGGAACACGTGGAGGTAAGGCAGTCACGGAGCCGGACGCTCTCAACATACCCAACTTGTATTCCTGCCTCGCCCCCCACCGGAGCCAAATCGAATCATTTCTGGAACACCCCGGCAGTGCGTTGTTGACTGATGTACAGTACGTACGGCTAAGTTGCGCGGCACTCTAGATCTGGCCTCATAACCGAAACGTTTTGGAACCGAAGAGAAGGCACACGAACCGCGTTCTTCAGGAATTCGCTACAGCAACACACACCCTTGTCGAGATTGCACTGACAAAGACATACTTCGGTGGCACGTCGCGCAGAGGTACTGGGTGGAAGAAGCCGAGGCCCCCTTCCGTTGCCGGCTGCAGAGGGATGGGCTCAAGTTCTCCCGTGACATCGCAACGTGGGAAGCTCGAGCCCCTGCAAAGAAAAATGACAACGACAAGGGCAACAGCGGAGTAGGTAGCCCGGGGGGAGACCTGGACGGGGACGAACACTGGGGCGGCGAAGGCGTTGGAGGCGACGGAAGAGGTGGCGGCGTGGGCGGCGACGGCGGGGGCGGCAACGGCGGGGGCGATGGCGCCGGCTTCTTTGCGTTCCCTCTTGTGGTGCACAACTCTCACGCTCATCACGTGGTACGGGAAAATGCAGAGTCTACCGTGACCTGGGGGTAACCTTCGGGTTTGGTCGTCGCACGTGGTATCCTTCTGTTGTGTCATCGGGAAACGACACGACATCTTGCGTCGCGCATGCCATCAAGCCCAACGCAGGGCAACAATGGGGGCGTCCGTGCGTGCTTGTTCAATACCGTGCTTGTTATTCTCCACAGAAGCATCAGGCACACGAAATACAGTGCGTGCATCGTGTGAGACGTGCCGACCGAATCGAAAAAAATCCGGGCACATTATGTCGTGGCAACGAACACGTACCACACCCTAGTCGGTTACACACCGACAAAGCGCACGCGACGCGTCCGATTGACAGACTTTCCCCCGAATGTTTTCGGCTGAACTGTGCGAATCTATGCATGGGGGGGGGCATTGGCGTTACTTCTCGGAGGTTATTCCGAGCTCGGCAAGGCTATGGGCCCCGAACATCGGCCGTGTGTGATTGAAACAGCCGTCGAATTGCACCATTTGTTCCTTGACTCTTTCGCGCCGATGGGCTGTGCGAAACGGCGATCACCGCAGGACTGGACGTCGGGCCCCGACCGCTACCAGATCACGCAAGACTCCGAGCCGGAATGGGGGTGGACCCGGCTGTTCACCTTCTTCGCCTACGCGGCCTCCAAGTACCACGTGCTGGAGACCACGCAGGCTCCGCTTGCGCAGAAGGCCAGTCTTTCGAAGACAAAATTACTATGTGGTTGCTTTGGCCTCTGTAGTTTATTTCGGTGTTGGTGTTGTTGTTCGAAATGTGATAATGATTTGATTATGTAGATACTGTAGTCAGTTTGTTGCGTCTGCTATGCACACGCGAACCCATTGGGTCTCTGCCAAACCGTCTCACGCCCGCGGTCTCCCACCAAAGTGTTGGATGAGGGCCCGATGATTTTAAGCCAACATAGAGTAAAGCTCGCGCGTCCGTCTGGATTCCAACGCGACAGACCGCCGTAATGTGAAGAGAGCATCGAAAATCAGGAATTTCGCACATGATTGCTCCATGTCATTGATATCATGAGAGCACCCCAAGTTGGAGCGCCACCATCAGCGTATTGCTTCATGCATGACGGTAGACTATGCCTCTGGCTCGTAAACCCATGGAGTGGCCGCTCCCTCCCACAAAAAAAGCCTTCTCCATTCCTTGTGCGGCAGATTGTGAAGGGAAACTTTCTGACTCCGGAACCGGGCTGGAAGTGCGTGCTGGCCTTCTTCGCATTCAATGACATGGTTCCCGGGAGCAACAGGTGAACCATTCGTAGGCGGTATTCGTAGGTTCTTCAAAGAACCTTGTGTGGTTACTTCACCGAGTGCATTTGGCCCCTGTCCCCCACCCCTTGGGGACATTCCGTAGCCGATCGGTGCAGGTGAGATGATAGTCCAGACCTCACTTTCTCGGGTGACCGATTGCGTTTATCGCCCCGTTCCATCCCAGACTGCCTCTATCCTGTGTGAAGACACGGAAGTGACAACTTAAATCACCAGACTGGTCGTAAATTGGCATATCAACAAGACTGCCAACAATATCACGTCCTCTGCCCGACCCTACCCGCTTCTTTTTGCACGAGAAACAGCCAAATCAATGGCAAACGAATAGGTGGAATTGAACTACAATAGGGAATTCATTCTTTCGACCGGTGCTACATATCAGCAAAGGCTGACAACACAATACGTGGTCTAGGGACCCACTTCCCCTTATTGTTGTGCGGGAGGGGCAGCCAAAACAAGAGAATTCGAGATGATGAAAATGAAATCAAATCTCTTCCAATATCGCTCAATTCACTCTTCCAACAGGTACTACATCGAGGAGAAGGACGAGCCTCACTTGCGGACTCGCATCGGCATGGAAGCATCCTGCCGGTGGGACGCCAGGCATAGCTTTGCCGCATTCGACGTGCCCGTGCCGGGCTCCTGCGCACTCGACGTCCACTACACCATCCGCAGCACGGACAGCCTCAACCCTTACCCCGAACAGTGCCGGATATCTCTGAAGGCAAGATTGAAATGCTAGTGGGGGGGCCGGCGCACTGATGTTTTCACTCTTGAACCCGGTAGATGCAGCTTGATTCTTGGGGATGGACGCAAATTCGTCAACGGCCCCGTTTTTGTGTATGAAGGGAGAGGTAAGGACGGTTGATGTGCCTTAACGTTTGGCGAATGTGGCTTGACTCACATTGATTGTCCTTCCTACCCAAGAAAAGCGGGACGAGTGGGAATCGTCTGGGGTGAATAAAACGAGTTCTGCGTGCGGGGTGATATATTCGATGGGTAGGAAGTTGCAACGAATGTCTGTGCGCGTGGAGTTAGTTGGAGGTGAGCCTTGGTGTTTTCGGCGGTGTGTTCGCTCAGGTGGCTGCTGACCTTAAAACCGTCAGTGTACATGTCCCGGAGCCTAACAAGCTTGGAAAAAATATGCGGCGCACCGAAATGTTTATGGAACCGCCAAACCTTGTAGGCACGCACCTCACGGCCTTGTGTTCAGCCACCGCGAAACGTCGCTTAACTACCCCGACAACTTCGTCATGTGCCCCTAAACGCCGTTTTCACAACCCTGACACAGGACCCGTGGGGTTCGTGGGAGCAGAAGTTCAGGTTCTATGCCTTCCCCGCGGAGCAAGTCTTGCTCTCCCCCGAGCTAGACTCGGACACGCAAGACGTTCTCAGCGGATCGCAGTCAAGATCTGCGGGAGACGAATCGGGCCCTCACGGCTGAAGACACGGAGGCTGGCGCCATCTGCAGTATCTGTCGTCTGAAATCTCTGCAAATAGACACGTATCACCAAAGCGGCCAATCGGGTCCCACGTTTTTCTCGTAAAGGGGCGGGCTAACCCAAGAGAAGGCGATCAGCCTTTCATCCCCAATATTGGCAAGGCGCGCTTGCTGTCGGGACCAGTGTGTGGTTTTCGAGCAGCAGAGTTACCAGTCGCGTGTTCACATGACGATCGGACATTGGCAAAAGCCTGCTGCTGCAGGACAGGAAGAGGCAGCAGGAAACGGCGGTAAAAAGGTTGCCTTTTCGCTCGTAAGTCGTGCTCCAATTACGTACTGACTCATGCGTGTTCGTAGTCGAAACGACGTTTTTGCAATCGTCAAAACTACTACCGTAAATGCTTCCAACTAGGTCGAGACAATATTTTTTTCTTTCAAAAACGTGAAGTACATCACAACCACCAAAACACCACCGAGCCAGGTTATGACATTTACACCCCCCATGGCAATCACCCGCTCCACCACCAAAGTTACACAGCAAAAATATTCAACGCACCAGGCAATTCTGCGTCTGGAACGGAGACGACCCAGTCCAACACCCCTTGCCACAAGATCGTCGCCGCATGGGGGGGGCTACCTACCGCCATCTCCATTGTCCAGACAACGGGCCTCCCACAACCTCCCTCTCCCTCGCGCCCTCTCCTTCCCGGCCCACCCCGTCGAACACCACCATAACAAGCCAACCTATGCGTCGCCACTCCCGGATGCCGACGACGACGCTGACGGCTTTTTTCGCTTCCTGCGAACGCGATTTCCCGAGCCTCCCGACGCGGCCGTGCCGCCCGCCTCGCCCTTCCCGGCGCCGCCTTCAGCCCCGCCACCCTTAGCACCGGAACCACCGCCACCTCTGCTGCTGCTGCTGCTGCTGCTACTGCTGTTGCTTTTGCCTTTGCTGCTCTTCTTGGCGGAGAGCGGGTTCGGGGCGGTGGCCCTCTTTTTCAAGCGTTTTCGCGGCTGCAATGCCCTGGTGGGTTGGATAACGAACAGCCAATACATTTGGCGGGAAAATTAGAGCGGCATGAAGAGAGGAAACGACGACGGGCAGCGTCTTACAAAAAAAATTACGAAAGAAGAAAGAAATCTGAGATTCAATCACCTCACCAAGTGCACGCTCGGAATAGGCCGAGACGACCATTATCACTCTGCTTGCTTTGGTTCAGACCGTTGCTTCCGTCCCAAGACACGATTGAAGGGGTGCTTGTTGTTCGAGAAAGACTCGCACTTCGGAGGTCCAACGTATCGCCAAGACAACGCAGGACCCATTTCCCCTCCATTAACTTCCCTTCCGCGCCCCCCCCCCCCTTTGGGTTTGGCGTACCTCTCCCTCTCGCGCTCCTCCCGCTCCCTCTTCTTGAGGACGGCCAGCACCCTGTCCTCCTCCTCTGTTGTTCCCACGGCCTTCTTCCGCTGCTCGCGGCATCCGTCGGACACCATGATCCCACGTCGCGCAATAATTGTTGGTGCGGTGTGCGATGATAAGTACGCAGCACCGTTCGTGGTGTATCGGTGGGGTCGGTGGTGGGGCGGGCGCGCATCGCCAACAAGAGGCATGCCCCAACCAAACGTACAGCGGAGAGGATTACATAAGGACGGTGACAGAGAGGGGTTGGCGGTGAGGGGATTGAGCGAGGCACACGCATCTTCCATTGAAAAGAGAGAATTGGGTGAGAGAGGGAGAGAGGGAGAGAGAGAGACACACACACAAGGGAGATCACACTTTCAGGCAAGCATTGCCCCGAGGTTTGGTGTACTCTAGAACCAGCGCTGCTCTCCTTGGACAGCCTGTTCGACCTACAGCAGCTAGACCTCTCTTAGATTTCTTGGATTGCGTCATCGGCACTGGACAAAGATAACACCCAACAACACAAAAACGAAACCTCAGGCCGTGTTGGTGCGTGCTATTGTTCCGCTTTAGGAAAAATTGAAACCACTACACCGCAAATCTCTAGCACAGCAGCAGCAGGCGCAGCAGGCGCAGCAGCACTAGCAGCACAAACAACAACAACAACGATGTGACGCATAGGCCTAGACCGCCTGCACGACGGTCAGTAGGTCTCACCTCGGCTTTCTCGAACTCGGCCTTGCTCTTCCCCGACGGCTGCTCCATCACCAGAACCGTCCGTGACACAAACACCAGCGGACAGCCCGGAATCCTCCGCAGGCGCACCCGCAGGTTCTCATCCTGCCGGGGGGGGGGTAGGGAGAGGAGGGGAAAGGCAAACCGGGGGTCAGCGAGGGAGTGGTATCACCAGCGGGGGGCGAGTGGGCAATGGCGGCGAGAACATGCAACGGAGACGATTGGAGGAAGTTTCAGTGACTGACATCAGGACTAAATGTGTTGTTGAATTATCTAGTGATGCTAAATACCAGTTTTTGTTTTGTGCAGTGCATTGTACGCTTGATCCTTTCCGGCGGCGGACTATGTATGATGCCCGACATCTCTCTGCGGCAAGGGACAGCACCAACGCCCAACGCTGCTCGCAAGGCGAAAGGATGTGCAGTGGTCTCGCGTGGCCACTACACAGTCGATAGCAGCAACAACAACAACAACAACAACAACAACAGACACCACGACTGGCTATTTACCTGTGAGGCGACCAAGTACTTCCCCTCGTTGTCTGCCCCGATCGCCGCGACAATTTCTTTGGCTGGGTCTGGCCCTTTCTCTCCGCCCCCTCCCCCTCCTCCCTCCTCGTCCGATCCCGACCCCGACCCCCCCGCTTGATTTTCGTTCCGGGGTGGCGGGAGCCCTCTGCAGTGCCCAATTGCGAACTGCAGCGGAATTACCGCGAGAGAAGGGAGGGCGGGAGTTGTAGAGGGGAGGCGTACCGGGGGGGGGGGAGGGCTGAGTGATGGTGCGGACCTTCTCACTTTGGAATGCCTTCATCAACACCAACAAAGAGAAAGCATCTTCTGAGTGCGAACAACAATAGATGAATCGCTCGACGGAGATTCTTGCACCACCGTCCAACCGACGCCGTTCCTCGCCTCTCCTCGTCACGTTAGCTCCTCTCAGCATCTTTCCCCGGGCTGCCAACCAGCCTAGCTACACTGCTACAAAAGCAAGGTTGCTACAAGTAAGGTGGGAGGACGAGACGCGCTCATCGTCGCTCTTCGATCTTCGTAACCTTCGTGCTTGTTCTAGACACGTGTCAGCGGCTTGGCGTCTAAACTACGGGAGCGTCGCAGTCAAGACACTTGCTTTTACCGACCACGTTCACATTTCTTGCCGAAAAACGTGACTAACATACTGCTCCCGAAACCGAGTAGTCCTTCCTTGGTCCGCCCCGGCCTCCTCGAAAAAAACACTCAAGAGAAAATGCGCGGCCAGAAGAGGAAAGGCTGTAATGCGTTCTGCAGAGCTACCAAGCTACCCTGTGGGTGGGTGGGGACGCACGTTCGGAGCCCCCCGTTCCCCTCCTTTTGTCTCTTACGTTGTACGCCTTCTGGAACTCCGGTCCTAGCGCCTTGAGCTCCTCTCTCGCGCTTCGCGGGACGAAGAGGTGCATCTTCGCCCCCTTGAATAATAGTGTTGTTTTGTGTCCCCGAGCAAAAAGGATGGCAAAGGGCAGGGGGATTACCGGCGGATCTCGGGGGGGGGGGGGGGGGGGGGGTCCCTTTTTTTTTGGCTGCCTTTACGGTTAAACCATTTACCCCCCCCCCCCCAAAGGACGGAGACTTTTTCCCCCGGGACCGATCCCCCGAGGGCCATCCTTCCTTTCTATTTTTCCAAAGGGGGTCCAAAAATGGCTTCCCCAAGTTTTTTTTCTTAACCCCCTCCCTTCCCCCCTTTTTAAACCCCTTTTTTTCCCCCGATACAGCTACCGCCCCTTCCCCCTTTTTTCATGCCCCAAAAATTCCCCTGGAGGTACCCCCCTTGCTTTTTTCCCCTTCATTCAAAAACTCTTTCCCCATGTTCTTTTTTGCTCCCGAGGACCCGGGAAGTTTTCGCTTTTATTTTTCCTGCCTTGGTTTTCCCCAAAAGGGGTTTCGGTACCCCCCTTTTTTTAAAAAAATTTTTCCCCAAAAAAAAATTTAAAACCCCCCCGAAAATCCCCC